CAAACCTTGTCTCCCCACTGCGATCCAGAGATGGCATCATTGGCCTCCCTTGCAGGGATGTTGTAAATGAAGTGTCTTGAACATTCTATTTTATTTATTTTTTAATTTATTATAGTTAGTATTTTCCACACAACACAAAAAATATCAAAAAATAACAATAAGAAAAACACAAAAACCGATATTCAAAAAAAACATACAAATCCATATCTTACATGTTAATAATATAAACACTGAAAAGAAAAACAAACACTGACTTCCACCAGTCCCACCAGCACCTCCTTTATCTCTCATTGTGTCTTCGTGTTTTCCTGTTCATCTCTATCCTATCATCCAGATATAAATCCCTCTTTCTTATCCTTTCACTCTGCAAGGTTATTCCAGACTCAAGCCAGATTTCTGTCCTCGAACTTTGGCTTTTAAGGTATTCATTTAGGCACGCCCCTTCCTTTTTCGCTTCACTTTTTGGTTTTTGTCTTCTTATATCTGTCAATTTGGCTAATTCTAAATATTCTGAAAGCTTACACAACCATTCTCCTCTAGTGGGTAACTGATTCCCTTTCCAATACAGCAAGACGAATGCCTCGCAAGACAAAAAACTCGCAAGACGAAAGGGTTTTTTGTTTTTTGAGCTGCTTTGCAAGATGATTTTCCCTATGGGCTTGCTTCGCAAGACGGAAACGTCTTGCAAGTTTGTTTCCTTTTTCTTACCACCGTTAATACAGTTGCGACTTGACTTCGAGGAGCAACTCATAGAACGCGGTGTGGTAGCCTTTTTTGAGGTTTTTGAAGACTTTGGTGATTTTTGAAGCTTTTCCAAAACTTTTCCGACACCGTGCTTCGCAAGACGAAAAAAATCGCAAGACGGAAAAACTCGCGGAACGAATTAATTTCGTCTTGCAAGGCACCACTGTACTTAGCCGTGTCTCAGACATTCTAAAACAGTTTGTCGACTGGTGGTGGTGATGCCCTTAAGTTTTGTGAGCCTTCGAAAGGTTATTTGACCAACCGAATGAAGGGCACTGGGCGCCACTTGCAGCCCTTGAACTGGCCCAAGAAGTTTTGGGGCCTGAAATGGAAAACTAAAAGCAGGCATTCTTTAGCTGTGATTTCTGCAGGAGGGGGTTGGACTGGATGACCCTCAGATGTCCCTTCCAACTCGGCAATTCTATGGTTCTCGGCTGAACCTGAAGCTGGCCTTGCCTTGCCTTCCCAGGGCTCTTGCAGAGAGGGTGGTGCCTCTGTTTCCTCAGCTGTGGCCTTTGGAGGGTGGGAGGGGGGTACCTCCGAAATGTTTGCCCACTCTGCCTCCTCTCCAGGAGGCCTCCGTCCCGGATTCGGTGCCAATAAGGCGGCTGTTGCAGGCGGGCCTTTGGGCTGGAGCTCTGGCCATTGAGCACGAACAAAGAGCAAAATGTTTCCAGGGCAACCTGCCTCTCTCTTGGCAGGCAGAGCCAGAGGCCTGCTCCCTTGGGCTTGGCTGGGGGGGGGGGAGGCGGAGGATGAGCCCCGCAGTCGGAAAAGCAATTCGGAGGGCCGGAGGGGAGGCCAGAGAGGCCGCTGGCTTGGCTACCTGTCCTGCCCTGCAAATTCTCCCTGTGCTTTAATGGGATGCTGGCCTCAGACAGGGAGACTGGTGGATTTGCATGCATGTGGGTTGTGGCATTTGGAGTTTTAATCTTCTTCTGTGATCCCTCGTAGCCGAGTAAGATTGTCTTTCATAAACACGGTTTTAACAATGAGTCCGTAAGTGACTGTGGAGACCAGTTCTGGATCCACACGTCCTTCCACAGTGGGGACATTGGTTTCCAGACAGGAGTTGATCATGGTGTGGATTTGCCTTCCTCTTAGCACGTTTCTCCCTCGCGTCCTGAGTTCGAGTGTCTTCAAAGCCCATGACACCTTTGGAAAAGGCTGCTCTCCAATTAGAGCGCTCGCAGGCCAGTGTTTCCCAGTTGTCGGTGTTTATACTACATTTTTAAAGATTTGCCTTGAGAGAGTCTTTGAACCTCTTTTGTTGGCCACCAGCATTACGCTTTCCATTTTTAAGTTTGGAATAGAGCAGTTGCTTTGGAATACGATCATCAGGCGTCCGAACAACATGACCAGTCCAACGAAGTTGATGTTGAAGAAGCATTGCTTCAACACTGGTGATCTTTTCTTCTACACTGGCATTAGTTCGCCTGTCTGCCCAAGTGATATGTAATTTTTTTCGGACACACTGAATCTTTTGAGGAGTTGGAGATGGTGTTTATAAGTGGTCCGCATTTCACAAGCATACAGTAAGGTTGGTGGTACAATAGCTTTGCAAACAAGCATTTTGGTTTCCCTGCGAATGTCCTGGACCTCATGCATATGGGTTGTGGCATTCAGAGTTTTAATAGCTGGCAGTCCCTTGCAAATGCCCCCTTCAGCCAGCCATGCAGCTGTCCTGCAAACAGGCAGCCCCACAGACTTCGGGCGTGGAATAGATCTTCTGTGTGGCATCAGTCTGCTTCGCTTAATGGTTTGGGGAGCAGGGCTTGCAAAACTGGCTTGGTGGGGAAGCGCTAGGTCTTTTTATCAGCTGGCTGTTGTGGTGTGAAAGTCCTTGTTGGAGGATTCAGGACAGAGGAAAGAAAAGACTTACTCAAGCAGTGCAGAATTTTTTTGTTTTTTGTTTTTGACTTTATATGTTTATTTATTTGTTACACAAAAGCAATACAGCGTTTTAAAAACCCTAAATCAAAGATGTGTCATTTTTCAAATGAATCGCAATGTAAGATTTTTAAAATTAGTTTTTATTAAAGATTACAAGAAGATAAAAAGAAAAAAGAAATAGAAACAAAAATCAATACATAACACTGTAAACACATTTTCCAATATGCAGACTAGAAAATAAAAGAGATGAAAGATAAAAGAAAAGGGGGGGAAAGAAAAAAATACTTTTCATAATCAATAATACCAGATTTATTCTTCAAACATTACAATATATAAATCCTAGTTAAAATATTCTAAAAGACTTCCACCGCATTCACCACATGGCTCTTGGTTTCTAGTTCACCTTTACATCTGTGCTTCAGTCACTTCCTTTCCTTGAGTTCTTTCATAGTCCATCAAATCTTTGTGTTCACGCAGTGCAGAGTTGAACTGTGGAACTCCTTGCCACAGGAGACAGTGAAGGCCACCAACGGAGGTGGCTTTAAAAGAGGACCAGTCAAATTCATGGAGGAGGAGAGGGCTATCGATGGCTCTTGGCCAGGATGGCTCTGTCTCCACAGATGGAGGCAGCAATATTGCTGAATGCCAGGAGAAGAGAACCTCCGGCTTGTGGGTTTCCCATAATGGGCATCTGGTTGGTCACTGTGAGAACAGGACGCTGGACTGGATGGGCCTTTGCCTCTTATTGCATCCTTGTTGTTGTTTAGTTGCTTAGTCGTGTCCGCCTCTTCATGACCCCCTGGACCAGAGTGCGCCAGGCACTCCTGTCTTCCGCTGCCTCCCACGTTTTGGTCAATCTCATGTTCATAGCTTCAAGAACACTGTCCCACCATCTCGTCCTCTGTCGTCCCCTTCTCCTTGTGCCCTCCATCTTTCCCAACATCAGGGTCTTTTCCAGGGAGTCTTCTCTTCTCATGAGGTGGCCAAAGTCTTGGAGCCTCAGCTTCAGGATCTGTCCTTCCAGTGAGCACTCAGGGCTGATTTCCTTCAGAATGGAGAGGTTGGATCTTGCAGTCCATGGGACTCTCAAGAGTCTCCTCCAGCACCAGAATTCAAAACTGCATCCTTAATGTGCTACTATTAATGGCTTCGGAGAGATGGGCTTGTAAAACTTGGTTAGTAAGGAACGTGGAGTTGGCAATACGTCTTTTTACCTGCAGCTGGTAATACTATAAGGGCTTCTGGCATCGGGTGAAGTGCGCGGTGGTTCCTGAAATGGCCTTTAAGATGCTTTTCTGATCTTGCGCAGAGGGATTCTGTTGCCTAGCGCTCGGTGTCCCAGAACAGGACCTGGGAGAGAGACCAGGGTTTGAATCCCCACTCAGCCATGGAGCTCCCCGGGTGACATTGGGCCAGTCGCTGCCTCTCAGCCCAGTCTGCCTCACAGGGCTGTTGTGATAAAATGAGAAGGAGAATACGTAAGCCGCCTTCAGCTCCTTGGAAGAAAGGTGGGATATTAATGTAATAATATGATTTATTATTATGAGGGACGCGGGTGGCGCTGTGGGTTAAACCACAGAGCCTAGGACTTGCCGATCAGAAGGTCGGCGGTTCAAATCCCTGAGACGGGGTGAGCTCCTGTTGCTCGGTCCCTGCTCCTGCCAAGCTAGCAGTTCGAAAGCACGTCAAAGTGCAAGTAGATAAATAGGTACCGCTCCGGTGGGAAGGTAAACGGCGTTTCCGTGCGCTGCTCTGGTTCGCCAGAAGCGGCTTAGTCCTGCTGGCCACATGACCCGAAAGCTGTACGCCGGCTCCCTCGGCCAAGAAAGCGAGATGAACACTGCAACCCCAGAGTCGGCCACGACTGGACCTAATGGTCAGGGGTCCCTTTACCTTTACCTTTACGATTTATTATATTAATTAATCATCGTTGTCGTTGTAATACTGCACAGCTAGCCAACTGGGGAGGGAAGCTGCTGCCTTCTTTGAGAGGGTGGCTGTCCCTGCAGGGTTCATGGAGGCTCCCCTTAATTTTCACAGAGCCATAGAGTTGGAAGGGACGCCAGGGGTCACCAAATCCAACCCCCCGCAATGTGGGAACCTCAGCTTTTGTGTAAACCAGACCTGCCCCCACGCAGGCAGGGAAAGCTGCTTCCAGAATCCCAAAAGGATTCCACTGCGGTTCCTGCATTGCAGAGGGGGGGTCAGACTAGATGGCCCTTGGTGGTCCCTTGCAGCTCTGCCTTTCTGAGATTTGTAGACTGACCCCCCTCCGGGGGGGGGGGACGGTGGGCAGGGAGACCCTTGGGGAGTGGACCATCGCTGGGACCCTGTGCTGACGTCTCCCTCTGTTCCTGCCGCAGGAGAGTACGTGGAAGGGGTCAGCGACCAGGACGTGCTCCTCATCCACTCCTGCCGCCAGTGGACCACAGTGACAGCCCACAGCCTGGAGGAGGGACACTACGTCATCGGCCCCAAGATTGACATCCCCCTCCAGTATCCAGGTAACGGGGCAGGGGAGGGGGCACAGCCTGTGTCAGATGGGGAGGGGCCAGGAAGCCCCACGGGCCCTGGATGTGGGGCAGGCCTCATAAATAATAACAATAAAAATAAAAAATAATATTATTATTTATACCCCATCTTTCCCGGTTCAGGAAACTGGGCTCAGGGCGGCTAACAACAGATTTAAAACACATATTTGATATTACAAAAAAAAAACCAACAGCATAAAATACGTGAATAACAATAAATTCAGAATTCAAAAATCAACTTGGGGGGGGAACCATCCAATAAACATTAGATGATCCCCAGGGGTAGCTGGCTAAATTAGTCCTATTTGGGCCAGCGAGGAGACCAGGGGAGAATTAGCTGTGGGGTCTCAGAGCGGGTAATCTTCATAAAATGGGGAGGGGGAGGGAAGGGAAGGGAAGGGGAATAAAAGATCAGGCTAAGTTCAAATTGAAAGCCAGGCGGAATAGCTCTGTCTTACAGGCCCTGCAGAAGGAGGTTAAATCCTGCAGGGCCCTGGTCTCATGGGACAGAGCATTCCACCAGGTCGGAGCCATCACTGAGAAGGCCCTGGCCCTGGTGGAGGATAGTCTGACTTCCTTAGGGCCCGGGACCTCTAAACTATGGTTATTCATGGACCTTAAGGTCCTCTGCGGGGCAGACCAGGAAAGGCGGTCCCGTAAATATGAGGGATAACAATAACAATAATAATTTATACCCTGCCCATCTGGCTGGGTGTCCCCAGCCATTCCTCCACAGATCCACCAGTTGCCGGACGATGGCGCAGCAATAAAGCTGCTAGTACATTTGTGAAGCTAAGCAGGGTCCGTTATGGTTTCAGCTTGGATGGGAGACGGTGTGTTGAGATTTCCTGCATTGCAGGGGGTTGGACTAGATGACCGCTGGGGTACCTTTCAACTTTGTCAGCCCGAATAGCTTGGTTGGTTAGACCATGGTGCTGATAATATCAAGGTTGCCACGGATCACTGAGTGTTATATATATTTTAATTTGGTCCGGCTACATCTCCTCCGCGATCCATCATTTCAGTTACCTTTTAGCCAGCAGCCTCAGGAATCACAATGATAAGCCATTAAGTCTCCGCCAGCTGAACTGATGGGATATCATAAAATCTTAGAATTGTAGAGTTGGAAGGGATCTTGGGGTCATCTAGTCCAACCCCCAGAAATGCAGGAATCTCAGCTAAAGCATCTGAGACAGATGGCCACCCAACTTCTGCTTAAAAACCTCCAAGGAAGGAGAGGCCACCACCTCCTGAGGGAGGCAGTTCCACTGATGAACAGCTCTTTCCATCAGAAAGTTCTTCCTGATGTTTTTAGTCTGAATCTCCTTTCTTATAATTTGAAGCCATGGGAAGATGACTATCCTATCTCCTGATGTCAGAAAGTGAGGAGGAATTAAAGAACCTCTTAATGAGGGTGAAAGAGGAGAGCGCAAAATATAGTCTGAAGCTCAGCATCAAAAAACCCCAAGATCATGGCCACTGGTCCCATCACCTCCTGGCAAATAGAAGGGGAAGAAATGGAGGCTGTGAGAGATTTTACTTTCTTGGGCTCCATGATCACTGCAGATGGTGACAGCAGCCACGAAATTAAAAGACACCTGCTTCTTGGGAGAAAAGCAATGACAAACCTAGACAGCATCTTAAAAAACAGAGACATCACCTTGCCAACAAAGGTCCGTATAGTTAAAGCCATGGTTTTCCCAGTAGTGGTGTATGGAAGTGAGAGCTGGACCACCAAGAAGGCTGATCGCCGAAGAATTGATGCTTTTGAATTTTGGTGCTGGAGGAGACTCTTGAGAGTCCCATGGACTGCAAGAAGATCAAACCTCTCCATTCTGAAGGAAACCAGCCCTGAATGCTCACTGGAAGGACAGATCCTGAAGCTGAGGCTCCAAGACTTTGGCCACCTCATGAGAAGAGAAGACTCCCTGGAAAAGACCCTGATGTTGGGGAAGATGGAGGGCACAAGGAGAAGGGGACGACAGAGGACGAGATGGTTGGATAGTGTCTCCGAAGCTACCAGCATGAGTTTGACCAAACTGCGGGAGGCAGTGGAAGACAGGAGTGCCTGGCGTGCTCTGGTCCAGGGGGGCACGAAGAGGCAGACACGACTAAACGACTAAACAACAACAACATCCTATCTCCTCTCAGTCTCCTCTTTTCCAGGCTGAACATACCCAACTCCTTCAACCGTTCCTCATATGGCTTAGTTTCCAGACCCTTGATCCTCTTGGTTGCCTTCTTCTGTACACCTTCCAGCTTGTCAATATCCTTCCTAAATTGTGATGCCCAGAGCTGGACACAGTATTCCAGGTTGAGGACTGACCAAGGCAGAATAGAGAGGGACTATGACTTTGCTTGATCTGGACACTAGATCTCTGTGGACGCAGCCTAGAATTGTATTAGCAGTTGAGTTGTGGCTCAAAACACCTGTGAGTCCTGCATTGAAGGGAGTTGGTCTAGACAGCCCTTAGGGTCCAACTCTGCAATTCTATCTGGAGGTACCCAGTTGGGTATGGGTGGCCCAAAATTTGGCCACAAAATATTCCAGGTCCTCTCCCACCTCCGTATTTTGTTGGAAGCCCCCCAGAAAGGCTGGGGTAACCCAGTCAGATGGGCCAGGTATAAGTAAATAATAATAATAATAATAATAATAATAATAATAATAATAATAATAATATTGGCAGCATCGCACGCAGGGGGGCTCTGGGTAGGTTGGCATTCAAAGCTTGCTCCCTCTTCTCCCTGGTCCTGCAGGTGTAAAAATAATACCCACGGTTGATTGCAGAATTAAGGACACGCCAGGCCTAATCCTGGGCTTGCAAGAGCTTGGAAAGAGGTGCCTGATGTGGAAGGTCGGCGAGGTGGGGGGTGGAAGTGTTGGCGCCGGTCTGGAAGGCCCTGAACTGAGGAGGAGAAGGAGAGTGACCCAAGTGGGAGTTGGGAATTAGCAGGGTTGAGATCATCCCTGGCCCTTAATGAGCCCGCTAAGTGCTTCCCATCTCTGGTAATGATGCGCAAAGATGAATAAATCATGGGAGCCCCAGCTAATCGCTGCTCCTTGGGGAAGGCAATGGGACAGGAGGGGAGGGGAGCGGAGCAGAGAAGCGTGTTAACCTGCTGGGCTGGCCCATTCATAAAATCGGAGCAGATGGTGCGGTGGCAGGGGGGGGGGAGAGAAGAGGTTTCTGTCTGAAACACACACATACACACACAGAGTCAGTTTTGGCTCAGAGGTGTGCAAATGGCTGTCTCTCCCATGAAGCTGAATGTTGGAAGATTCAGGGCAGTGCAGACTGTGGAACTCTCTGCCACAGGAGGCGGTGATGGCACCAACTTTAAAAGAGGACAAGAGGGCTATGGATGGCTCTGCAATGCTCCTGGGTCAGCAACCTTTTTCAGCCGTATCCCTCATACCATGTGGTGGGCCGGAGTATTTTTTTTCGGGGGGGGGGGGGGAATGAACGACAACAACAATCCCCATGTTACACCCCTCCCTAAACTACATCACTCATACATCACAGTTACATCATGAAAGGGGAGGTCTGGTGGCCGTAATCTGAGCACCCTGGACCCTGCCCCATGGTTCCCCTTGCCCTCCACCAAACACCCATCAAGTGGAACAAAAGAAATATTTACACTTCCCTGTTTCCCAGCCACGTTCATCCCACCCTTTTGTCTTCATCTGGGTTTGTTCTTTCTGGAATGGCTACCTGTCTGGCACTCAGGTATCAGGATGCCAGGGATTATCCCTCAGGCAGAGGGGCTGCTGAGGAGCTGAGCTCAAATGTCTATAAGTTTCCCCAGTGAGCCAGTACAGAGATACATTGATCAGTGAATTCTTACATTTGGTATCGTGCAGCAGAGGCCCTTTGAATAGATAGGAAGAAACTGGGATGATGTATTTTGTGGGGACAAGTCACAAAAGTGATTGTGCTGATTTTGGCAGTGGGCTGCATGTGCAGGATATCTGCTGGAGGGGCAACCCCCCCCCAACCTATACATAAATTCCTGCAACAGTCACAAGTCTCCCCCCCCCATCCTGCCTTTGCTCCTCTTCCAGCTGGTGCCACGACGCCCCCCCTGCCTTGTCGTTGCTACAGCCTGTTCCCACATCTCTGCTTCCTTGGGGAGAAGATGGACACAGCTGTCTCCAGAATGTGGGGGGGGGGCAGCTTCTCTGCCTCACTCTGCTTCTTCCTCCCCCCCCCCCCAATCCTCATAGCAGCTTTTCCCCATCTGTGTATCCTGTCTTCGATCATCCCCCTTGTTTGCTGGAGTTGGGGTGGGCTGTTGCAGGAGGGGGTGGGCTCTGGAGACAGACATGTTTGCAGAGGGGAGGGGGTCTTTGCCTGCCTTAAGGCGCAATCTTTTTTTTGGCGGGGGCAGTGAAAGTAAAGAAGGCTTTTGGCCCTGGGAAGCGGGTGCGAGATGCTCGGAATCGGGGAGTCGAGGCAACCTAGGGCCATGAGCGAGTGATGGGAGGGAAGGGGGCTTCTCAGCAAATATAGCCAGTCCCCGTTTCCCTGCGCGGCTGAGTAAACCGTAGCCAGTTCCCACATCTTTGAGGCAAAGAGCTTTGTTCCTAGGGAGTCCCACTTTTAGGAATCCAGGGGAGGCAAGAATCTCATGGGAGGGGGGCACAATTTGCTCCTGATACAGCGTCCTTTTCTCTCCTCTTCTGGGTGTACATTTCCAAAATATAAGAAAAAAATCAAATAAAATAAAGCCTACCTACAGCAACAGTGTTTTGTGTTGCGTAGGCTCCTAGGATGTAAGTCATGGGCCCCACCTGCTCGCCTGCTCACTAAAATATCTCTGCTTTGCTCCTTTCTATATATAGAGTGCCTACATTCTGCATGGACTGGTTGCAAGTCAACATGTGCAAATGGCTTGTGATAACTATGAGGTCCGTATAGCATATTGTTGTTTAGTGGTTTAGTCGTGTCCGCCTCTTGGTGACCCCCTGGACCAGAGCACGCCAGGCACTCCTGTCTTCCACTGCCTCCCGCAATTTGGTCAAACTCTTTTTTTAAAAAAATAATAATAATTTTTATTCATTTTCCAAACAAGTTTTATACAGTCAACAAATTATTTTACACTCATGCTTCAATTTTTGACTTCCCTCAGTTTCTCTGTCAATCTTTCAAAAAATTTCTATTTATTGACGCATTTCTAAACATGATATTGCCTTTCCCCACTCCTTTTCCTCTGGCCAGAAGTATCCTTGCGGCAGTCACTGCATATTGAAACAGTTTACAGTCTCTCTTATTGATTTCGTTTCCTACCATTCCTAATAGAAAGGCTTCTGGTTTTTTAACGAACGTATATTTCAACATATTTTTCAATTAATTTGGTCAAACTCATGCTGGTCGCTTCGAGAACACTGTCCCACCATCTCGTCCTCTGTCATCCCCTTCTCCTTGTGCCCTCCATCTTTCCCAACATCAGGGTCTTTTCCAGGGAGTCTTCTCTTCTCATGAGGTGGCCAAAGTCTTGGAGCCTCAGCTTCAGGATCTGTCCTTCCAGTGAGCACTCAGGGCTGATTTCCTTAAGAATGGAGAGGTTGGATCTTCTTGCAGTCCATGGGACTCTCAAGAGTCTCCCCCAGCACCATAATTCAAAAGCATCCATTCTTCGGTGATCAGCCTCCTTTATGGTCCAGCTCTCACTTCCATACATCACTACTGGGAAAACCAGAGCTTGAACTATACGGACCTTTGTTGGCAAGGTGATGTCTCTGCTTTTTAAGATGCTGTCTAGGTTTGCCATCGCTTTTCTCCCAAGAAGCAGGTGTCTTTTAATTTATTGACTGTTGTCACCATCTGCAGTATATACACAACACAAAAAACAGCGGCAATTTGTTGTTGACAAAGGACAGCTGGACCCATTACCTTCAGGAAGTTAGGGCCTCATCAAACCTAAATCTGGACCTGAGCCTCTTGTGGCTGGAAGCCATTGAGAGCCCTCTCCTTCTCCACAAATTTGTCTAATCCTCTTTAAATGCCATCCAAGTTGGTGGCCATTGCCGCCTATTGTTGCAGGGAGTTACACAGTTTAACAATGTGTTGAGTGAAGAAAGACTTTAGTTGATGTGCCCTGAATCTCCCAGCTTCATTCAATGTCTTTGAGTTAAAGAATTTCCATGCGAGATGATTTCAAGGCATGGGGCTGCCAAGCGCTCCAGCTTTCGGAGGCCATTTGCCAAGGCAGGGGACACAGCCCTATGTCAGCAAGCTTAGCTGCCGGCTCTGATTGATTGGAAAGCAATTGACTCATTGATCGGGACGTCTCTTGCTCGCTTCCTCTCTGTTCTGGGATGTCCGTGTCTCTCTCTCTGTCTTCAGGGAACCTTCTGGAGGCGGGGGGGGGGGCAGAAGGGAGCCCTTCCGATAAACGCAGCTGAGTTTGCCACTGCTACTGCTGGGGGAGGAGGAGGGGGCTGATTTAATTCACTATATTGACTCCCTGCAAAATAGGTGCAATGTGGTGGCCACGTTCCATGGGGATAACCCCACAGAAGAGCATTGTCTTCAGCGCCAAGAGGGCTACAGAGCATGCGCAGAGGGACTCGGCCCCACTTTCAATGCACATGAAATGACCCCCATCACTAGCCATCCTGTACCCTTTCAAACTATGGCTCTTTTGGGGGGGGCATGTTATTGGGTTGTTGTTTTCATTCTGATTATATGTTTTGATCTTTTCTGTGAACTGCCCTGAGACCTCTGAGTATTAGACGGTATATAAACTCAATAAATATTAATAATAATAATAATCAGGGCTAGTAGCCATTGGTAGCATTTCTTCACCATCAGTTTGTCTAATTGCTGCTAACTATCAGTATAATGTGGAACCCGTTTAGTTGCGCGATTCGCTTGCCCCACAAGTGCCCACTTGGCTGCATCTATTGGCAGCACTGGCAGCGTTGCAGGTACCACCTAAGACCCTCCCCACCTTTGCAATATCTTGATCGTTGAATGTGGCAGCACCTGTCCTTTGGAACTCCCTGCCTATTGATATCAGGCCTTCACTGTACTCATTTCAGTGCCTGCAAAAAAAGATTTTTGTTTAGAACAGCCTGCTCAGACATGTAGAATGTGGATGTATGTTTTGATCCATTTTTAGTTTATTGCTGGTTTTATTCTTTGAACGTTTCAATGATTATTTTTTTTACTGATACAGTGGTACCTTGGTTTTCGAACGTCTCCATTGACAAACATTTCAGTTTTCGAATGCTGTAAACCCGAAAGTAAATGCTTTGGTTTTCAAACACTTTTGGAAGTCAAACATGCCTCGTGGCTTCCCTATTGAGTTTTCCATTTTGAGGCTTCCGTATTGAGTTTTCGGTTTCCGAACGTTTTGGAACTCGAAAGGTCTTCCGGAACGGATTACATTCGAAAACCGAGGTACCACTGTCATGTTATTGTTTCGTTCTCTTTGTAAACTGCTTTGTGGTTCTTTTTTTAAAAACATACACACACACACACACACAAGTTTGTTTAAAAAATGTATGAAACCAATAAACAATAAATAGATGGACCGCAGTGGCTGTAGGCTGCCTGCCTGAGTCAGAGACATCAGGCCTCTGGAGAGGAGTTGCCGGGGACTAACACACTCCTGGCATTTGTTAGGGGGTGGGGGAACCACTGTAGGAATCAGGAATGCTGAATAGAGGGATCTTTGGTCTGACCCAGCCAGGCTCCCCTCACGTACCCCCCCCCAAAGAATTGGACAAGGAGCTCTCCCTCAATGGTTATCAGCCATAATAGTTTGAAGAGACAGCTACATATTCCTGCATTGCAGGGGGTTGGAACTTGGGCCGTCTTAACCATTGGCACTAGGGGTGCATGGCACCCGGGCACTTGGCTATCAGGGGCACCAGACCGGGAGTCCAGGGCCGAGAGTTGGAGTCCAGAGAAAAGCCGCCGACAGCCGAGCAGAGCCTGTTGGAGCGCTGTGGGCGACTCTTCCCCGGACACCAACACTGGCCCCCAAAGTCATGCCAAGCCACTGCTCTTCTCCGCTTGGCTGTTGGCTCTTGCCGCAGCTGCATGGCGGCTAATTGTTTCGGCTGTGCACGCTGCACCTAGAGGGCTGCGTAACATTGTGGGTGCTGCGTGACGCATCCTGTTGCCTTTGCTGACTTTTCCGCTGTTGGCGCACGCTCCCAACACTGCCCAACGTGGGGTGCCAGTGCAGAATGACTTATGCTTAAGACGGCCCTGTTTGGAACTTCTACAATTCTATGAAGCTGAGCTCTACCTCTCTTTCAAATCAGAACCAGTGAAGGCGGTGAAGGTCCTGTGTGAGTGCCTGGAGGCGTTAGAGCATGGATGGCAGCTAACAGATTGAGGTTGAATCCTAACAAGACAGAAGTACTGTTTTTGGGGTACAGGGGGCGGGCAGGTGTGGAGGACTCCCTGGTCCTGAAGGGGTAACTATGCCCCTGAAGGACCAGGTGCACAGCCTGGGAGTCATTTTGGATTCACAGCTGTCCATGGAGGCACAGGTCAATTCTGTGTCCAAGGCAGCTGTTTACCAGCTCCACCTGGTACGCAGGATGAGACCCTCCCTGCCCGCAGACTGTCTGGCCAGAGTGGTGCATGCTCTGGTTATCTCCCACTTGGACTACTGCAATGCGCTCTACGTAGGGCTACCTTTGAAGGTGACCCGGAAACTACAACTAATTCGGCAGCTAGACTGGGGACTGGGAGCGGCCGCCGAGACCACATAACACCGGTCTTGAAAGACCTACATTGGCTCCCAGTAGGTTTCCGAGCACAATTCAAAGTGTTGCTGACCTTGAAAGCCCTAAACGGCTTTGATGCAGTATACCTGAAGGAGTGTCTCCACCCCTGTCGTTCTGCCCGGACACTGAGGTCCAGCGCCAAGGGTCTTCTGCCAGTTCCCTCACTGCAAGAAGCAAAGCTACAGGGAACCAGGCAGAGGGCCTTCTCAATAGTGGCACCCGCCCTGTGGAACGCCCTCCCACCAGATGTCAAAGAGAAAAACAACCAAACTTTTAGAAGACATCTAAAGGCAGCTCTGTTTAGGGAAGCTTTTAATGTTTAATAGGTTATTGTATCTTAGTGTTCTGTTGGAAGCCGCCCAGAGTGGCTGGGGAAGCCCAGCCAGATGGGCGGGGTATAAATAATAAATTATTATTATTATTATTCCAAGTTACTTCTTATCAACAAGGGGATAAGGGGATCTTATCAACAAGGGGCAGGATACTTCTTATCAACAAGGGGACCAGGTGCCCGTTGTGTCAGGCTGAGGGGTCTCCTCCCTTGGGCGCTGACCACTGTTGGAGGCAGTGATCTGGGCTAGGCAAATCTGGGTTTGGCCGGGCTCAGGAAAGCGGGGGAGATGCAGACCCCCTGAGCTGACCCCTGGAGCAGCAGGTCTCCCTTAACCGATCCGGTGTGTGTTTTGCACCCTGCAGGAAAATTCAAGCTGCTTGACCAGGACAGGGATGTCCGGGAGCCTGTGCAGTACTTCAACAGCGTGGAAGAGGTGGCCAGCATCTTCCCGGACAGGGTCTTCGTCATGGAAGCCATCACCTTCAGCGTCAAGGTCAGTGGCACTTCAAGGGGACCCAGGTGGGGAGATCTCGGCCCAGGGTGCAAGTGCAAAAGGGATGGAGGGGCAGCCATTTCCACATTGAGAGGGAGTCAGGTCTCTCCATCTCGACTTGAAATCCCGCCTCTTCGCTTGGCTTCCTTCCGCTCACCTGGCAAAGAGCTGAGCTGTGTTGGGGATCCTTCCTGCCCCATAATAAGGTGGGGAAAGCGCCGCAAAACCTGAGCTGCTGGATGACAGGATTGTAAAATTGGAAGGGACCCCTGAGGGTCATCTAGTCCAACCCCCTGCAATGCAGCAATTGCAGCTGCAGGATCCTTGACAGATGACCATCCAGCCTTTGCTTCCCAATGTCTAACAGCTCTTAGTGTCAGAAGGTTCTTCCTGATGTTTAGTTGGAATCTCCCTTGTTCTAACTTGAAGCCATGGGTTCAAGTCTTACCCCACAGAACAGGAGAAAACAAGCTTGTTCCCTCTTCCACATGACAGCCCTTGAGATATTTGAAGATGGCTGTCCTATCTCATCTCAACCTCCTCTTTTCCAAGCTAAACATACCCAGTTCCTTCAACCGTTCCTCATCAGGCTTGGTTTCCAGACCCTTGATCCTCTTGGTCTCCTTCCTCGGCCCACCTTCTGGCTTCTCAACATCCTTCTTAAATTTGGGTGCCCAGAACTGGGCAGATTATTCCAGGTGTGGTCTGACCAAGGCAGAATAGAGTGAGACTGTTCCTTCCCTTGATCTGGACACTAGACTTCTGTTAAGGCAGCCTAGAATAGCATCAGGTTTTTTTGGCTAGGCTTGTGGTCCACCAACACCCCTAGATCCTTTTCACATGTGCTACTGGCAAACAAGGGACGCTGGGTGGCACTGTAGTCTAAACCACAGAGCCTAGGACTTGCCGATCAGAAGGTCAGCAGTTCGAATCCCCGCGACGGGGTGAGCTCCTGTTGCTCAGTCCTGCTCCTGACCACCTAGCAGTTTGAAAGCACGTCAAAGTGCAAGTAGATCAATAGGTACCGCTCCGGCGGAAAGGTAAACAGCGTTTCCGTGCGCTGCTCTGGTTCACCAGAAGCAGCTTAGTCCTGCTGGCCACATGACCTGGAAGCTGTACAACGGCTTCCTCAGCCAGTAAAGCGAGATGAGTGCCACAACTGGACCTAATGGTCAGGGGTCCCTTTACCTTACTGGCAAGCAAAGTTTCCCCCCATCATATATTTGTGCCCCTTCTTCTTCCATCTCCTGGCTGACCCTCTTTTTCCTCCCAGGTGGTCTCGGGGGAGTTCAGCGAAGACAGCGAGGTGTACAACTTCACTCTGCACGCCGGGGACGAGCTGACGCTCATGGGCCAGGCCGAGATCCTGTGTGCGAAAGCCGCCAAGGAGAAGTCGCGCTTTAACACGTTGCTGCGGAAGCTGGGCAAGGCGGGTGTCGCTGGTGGTGGCACCGTGGCCGGCGGCGGTGCCAGCAGTGGTGCCAGCGGCGGTGGGGGCAGCCGCCCGCTGAAGGGCAAGATGCCCTGCCTGATCTGCATGAACCACCGCACCAACGAGAGCCTCAGTTTGCCATTCCAGTGCAAGGGGCGCTTCAGCACCCGCTCCCCGCTGGAGCTTCAGATGCAGGAGGGCGAGCACACCATCCGCAGCATCATCGAGAAGGTGCGGCTGCCTGTCAACGTGACGGTGCCCACGCGGCCCCCGCGCAACCCCTACGACCTCCACGCCATCCGCGAGGGCCACTGCTACAAGCTGCTCAGCATCATCTCCAAGACGGTGGTCCTCTGCTGCATCCTGCGCAGGGACGCCGTGGCGCCCTTCCACTTCCTCCTGCTGACGGACATGCCCCGCTTCCTCCTCCCCGAGGGGGCACTGTGGGGCGGAGGGGACGCCCGCCTGGAGAAGCTCCTCCGCGAGAGCGCCGCCCTCTGCCAGGAGTGCTTCGACCCCAACGAATACTCCAAGGCGGTGCGCGAGGCCAAGGCGGACCTGGCGGAGGAGTGCACCAGTCCCCGGCGTGTCCGCCTCTGCCTCCAGGGCTATGCCCGCGACGAACTGGCACACTCCTTCCAGCGCCTCTCGCTCTGCCTCTACAGCACCTCCGGGGGCGCCCGCCAGGACCCCGCCTCCGGGGGGAGGAGCCAGAGGACGCTCCTCCCTTCTCGCCAGGACCACCACGAGGCCCTCTTCCCCGACGCCCCGGACGCCGAGCGGGAATACACGACGCCCGACTGGACCGAGCCAGCCTTCCGGGCTCCGGAACTGCCCTACGAGGAGCTGTGGACCAACCAGAACCGCGGGAGCTACGCGGAGCCCAGCGGGAAGCCGGCTGGCCTGGAGAGCGCCAACCCGGGCCAGAGAGACCTCATCTCTTTCGCCGGACTCGCCTCGCCCCTGGGGTCGCCGCCGCCGTGCCACCAGGGCCTGCTGGGGGAGGAGCCTGCGGGAGATGCCCCGCCTCCGGTCCCGCCCAAGTCTGAGGCGGTGAGGGACGCCTCAGGCGGCGGGGAAAGGGGAGCAGGGATGTGGAGGAGCTTGATTGGATCGGTTTGGGGACACAGGCGCAGGGGGGTGTTCACGACCCGCGGGGACGTATCCGGAATACAGTAGACACTCGGGTCGCGAACGTGATCTGTGCGGGATGCACGTTCGCAACCTGCAGCGCTCACAACCTGCAGTACCGCGTCTGCGCACACACGGGTTGCGATTCGGCGCTTCTGCGCATGAGCAAAGCACGATTTCAGCGTCTTTGCATATGCGTGAGCGCCAAAACCCGGGAGTAACCTGTTCTGGTACTTCCGGGCTCGGCGCGGTGTGCAACCTGAAAACGCACAAACTGAAGCATCTGTAACCCGAGGTATGACTGTACTGCATTCGGAAGGAGTGTCCAGGCAGAATTCGGCAAAATGTCTGGGAAAATCCAGGCGTGTGGCAACTCTTATCAGCAGCGTTATTTTTGCTGATCTCTCTTAGAAATAGCTCAAAAACATCAATATATTATTATTATTATTATTAGCGATGTTTGTGTCTGGATTTTCACTTTTCAAAGTATGGCAACCCTAAACAAACCAAGAAAGGGGAGCAGTTCAGAAGATCAGGCCTCCTGCTCCGTGTAGTTGCGGCGCCTTTTTGAGATTGACCGATTTGAGGTCTGCCTTCAAAAGTGTTAGGCTGTAAGATTTTGGGTTGGGGCAGCTCTGGAGTCTCCCCCCCCCCAGCTGTCCTGCTGAGCTTTGCTTATGGCTAGCATTGGGGTTTTTGGCTAGAGAAGGTTCCATACCTGGAGAGTCAAGTTTTAGGATGAAATGACAGATTGCACAGAATTTGGCTCCCTGCGGTGAAAATGGCCCAGCCCCAGCCCCTGGCTGGCCGGTTCCCTGTCTCCCATCCCCTGGCTGCTACTGGTCGAGGATCTTACCAGTTGTGCAGAAAACCCAGAGAGGGATTTTGCTTACCTGCACTTCAGTTCAGCGCGTAAGATTGGGTTTTTGCAAGGCAGAGATGCAGAACAACCAGAAATCCTCTTGAATTTGGGGGAATTGCCATATTTTTTGCTCTATAAGACTCACTTTTCCCCTCCTAAAAAGTAATGGGAAATGTGTGTGCGTCTTATGGAGCGAATGCAGGCTGCACAGCTATCCCAGAAGCCAGAACAGCAAGAGGGATTGCTGCTTTCACTGCGCATCAATCCCTCTTGGTGTTCTGGCTTCTGAGATTCAGAATATTTTTTTTCTTGTTTTCCTTCTCCAAAAACTAGGTGAAAAATACGGTAATCAGGACACGATATGATCGGGCAAAGGGGTGGGTGACCCCTGAGTTTCCCTCCCAAGGCAAATGCAGAGAGGGGCTTTTAGGGGTGAATGGCTGGAAGTGTATTTAATCAGTCCCCCCCCCAAACTGAGCTCCGACAGTGACAGTAAACCCAGCCAGAGGGTGTGTTTCTGTGGAGACTTATAGAGGAGAACTGACTCCATCTTCTGCAAATGCCCCTTTCTGCTAAGCCTCTTCTGCAAATGCCCCTTTCTACCCACCCAGCTGCCACTGGCATTCATCTTTGGGGGCATGCCTCTTTCTTAAAGTTGCCCCTCCCATTGGGACTCTTTCTGTGCCCCCATTTAGAGGTGTGTGTTTTGCCCTTCCAATCGCTATGGTCTTGGCTTCCAGCTATCTATCACCACTGCAGAAAACGGGTGAATCTCTCTCTCTCCATTTTTTCCAGGTGAGAGAGGAGTGCCGCCTTCTCGTCGCGCCCCCGGTGCCACCCCGGGGTGGCAATGCGCCGGCCGCTTCCAGCCCTCCGGTGCCCCTGCGTTTCCCGAAGCTCCAGGGAGCAGCTTCTCCCAGCTCCAGCCTCTCCTACTACTCGCCTGGACTGCATGATGGGTAAGTTGCTTCCCAGGGGGGCGGGGGGGGGGGGCTGAGGACCCTGCGCTTCTCCCCTCCCTCCCAGAGGCTGGGGCTTCTCAGTTGAAGCCACGCGAGAGCTCCATGCTCCAGAGTGCTCTCATTCTCCGTCTTCCTTCGTGTAAGTTTTTGGCACAAAGGAACGCCTGGTTATGAACCCGACAAGGCCTTGAACCAGCCACCTGCCAGAGGTTCTGGACTACAATGCCCTTGAGCACCATAGCTGTCAACGTTTCCCTTTTTTAAAGGGAAATTCCCTTATTCCAAATAGGATTCTTTGCAAGAAAAAGGAAAAGTTGACAGCTATGATGAGCACCAGCTGACATGGCCAGTGCTCAGGGATGCTGGGAGTTGTAGTCAAAAAAAAAAGCTAATGCTATTTTTGGCTGAATCAACAGAAGTCTTGTGTCCAGATCAAGGGAAGGAATAATCCCACTTTATTCTGCCTTGGTCAGGCCACACCTGGAATTGTTGTTGTTGTTTAGTTGTTTAGTCGTGTCCAACTCTTCGTGACCCCCTGGACCAGAGCACGCCAGGCACTCCTGTCTTCCACTGCCTCCCACAGTTTGGTCAAACTCATGCTGGTAGCTTCGAGAACACTGTCCCACCATCTCGTCCTCCGTCGTCCCCTTCTCCTTGTGCCCTCCATCTTTCCCAACATCAGGGTCTTTTCCAGGGAGTCTTCTCTTCTCATGAGGTGGCCAAAGTCTTGGAGCCTCAGCTTCAGGATCTGTCCTTCCAGTGAGCACTCAGGGCTGATTCCCTCAGAATGGAGAGGTTGGATCTTCTTGCAGTCCATGGGACTCTCAAGAGTCTCCTCCAGCAACGTAATTAAAAAGCATCAATTCTTCAGCGGTCAGCCTTCCTTATGGTCCAGCTCTCACTTCCATACATCACTACTGGGAAAACCATAGCTTTAACTATATGGACCTTTGTTGGCAAGGTGATGTCTCTGCTTTTTAAGATGCTGTCCAGGTTTCTCATTGCTTTCCCCCCCAGAAGCAGGCGTCTTTCCAATTCTGGGCACCACAATTTAAGAAGGATGTTGACAAGCTGGAAGGTGTGCAGAGGAGGGCAACCAAGATGATCAAGGGTCTGGAAACCAAGCCTTATGAGGAACGGTTGAAGGAGCTGGGAATGCTTAGCCTGGAGAAGAGGATACTGAGAGGAGATATGAGAGCCATCTTCAAATACCATACTTTTCTGTGTTTATTTACTCTAAAATAAGGTTCAAAATCAGGGCTCGTCTTATACATGGATAGTATCTCCCCCCATTTTCTTAAATCGGAGTCCCCAAAAATAGGGGGCGTCTTATACACGGGGGTGTCTTATAGACAGAAAAATACGGTATCTCAAGGGCTGTCATGTGGAAGAGGGAGCAAGCTTGTATTCTCCTGCTCCAATCTAATGACTACAAGTTACAACACAGGAGATTCTCAGTGAACATCAGGAAGAACTTTCTGACAGCAAGAGCTTTTCAACACTGGAAGAATCTCCCTTGGGAGGTTGTGGGTTCTTCTTCCTTGGAGGTTTGTAAGCAGAGGTTGGATGGCCACCTGTTGAGCGTTCTTCATCTGTGGTTCCTGCATTGCAGGGGGCTGGACTACATGACCCTTGGGGGTCCCTTCCAACTCTATGATTCTATGATGGGCAGCAGGTTGGTGCCGGCTGCTTTAAATGAAGCCCTGAGTCAGGTGTTGGGACTTCATGGGCATGTGGGCAGAGCCACCTGGTCCTGGGTCATCAGGCTGCTGAGGGCACGATCTAGGATTGACGAAAGCTGACTGCCAGGAAATCTGCATTTCTGGCTGGTTCTCCTCTTGTTCACCTTAATAAATAATAATAATATTTTTTTATTTATACCCCGTCCTTCATAGAATCATAAAGTTGGAAGAGACCACAAGGGCCATCGAGTCCAACCCCCTGCCAAGCAGGAAACACCATCAGAGCACTCCTGACATATGGTTGTCAAGCCTCTGCTTAAAGACCTCCAAAGACGGAGACTCCACCACACTCCTTGGCAGCAAATTCCACTGTCGAACAGCTCTTACTGTCAGGAAGTTCTTCCTAATGTTTAGGTGGAATCTTCTTTCTTGTAGTTTGGATCCATTGCTCCGTGTCCGCTTCTCTGGAGCAGCAGAAAACAACCTTTCTCCCTCCTCTATGTGACATCCTTTTATATATTTGAACATGGCTATCATATCACCCCTTAACCTCCTCTTCTCCAGGCTAAACATGCCCAGCTCCCTTAGCCGTTCCTCATAAGGCATCGTTTCCAGGCCTTTGACCATTTTGGTTGCCCTCCTCTGGACACGTTCCAGTTTGTCAGTGTCCTTCTTGAACTGTGGTGCCCAGAACTGGACACAGAAAACCGGGCTCAGAGCGGCTAACAACAAATTTAAAACACTTAATTGATGCAACAAAAAACAGTATAAAGTACAGTATAAGACATGAATAACAATAAATTCAGAATTCAAGAATCAATTTAGGGGAAGATCCATCCAATAAACATTAGATGATCACCAGGGCGAGCTGGCTAAATTAGTCCTTGGCACAAAAGCGCCCCCACGTGGCCACAGACTTGGACTCCTGAAAACTTTCTCTGCCGGAAAGTTGCCACTAAGTTTGCTTCTGGAGGTGCAAAAATCCCGGTGCTAAAAATATTGCTGCAGGGTTTGGAAAGATGCTGGACTTTTTCTGTCTGGATGTTGGAAAATTGTGCTGGCTTTCAAGCTTTGCAAAAAGGGGAAACAGCAGCAGGTGACCCTGGAAGAATTCCTGAGACCTTTAGTCCTGGAAGTCAACCTGTCTATCCTGCCGGTCCTTTAAGACATGGCATAGCCAGGAATTATTTTGTGGGGGGCGCAGGACTTTTGTTAGCAGAACTGACATCATTGGTCAGTTAAGTTTTTCTGTTGTGTTACTTGATGAGGGAAGCATGCTTTAAGAGTCTTGGTTCTGGGTGCCTGTTAGTTCATAGAATTATAGACTCCTAGAATTGTTCCATTGGAAGGGTCCCCCAAAGGTCATCTAGTCCAACCCCCATAAATTCAGGAATCTCAGCTAAAGCATCCCTGACAGATGGCCCTCCAACCTCTGCTAGAAAACCTCCAAGGAAGGAGAGTCCACAACCTCCCGAGGGAGACCGTTCCAACTATCCAACTGCTCTTACTTTCAGAAAGTTCTTTTTTTTTAACATAATTTTAATTGAGTTTTCCCTAATTTATTATTATTATTAAGCCTGACCCCCTCCTCTGGCAATCTGCACAGAATTTTGCTTAATGGTTGCCCTCAATTTGATTTTAATTAATTTTATAATGAATGTTTTTAGAATGTTGGATTATTTTGATTGTTGTTAGCCGCCCTGAGCCCAGCTTCGGTTGGGGAGGGCGGGATATAAATAAAATTTATTTATTATTATTATTATTATTATTATTATTATTATTATTATTATTATTATTTCATTACACAAATCCATAACTTAAAGCATTGCTCAAACAAAGCACCGACCTCCTTCCCTTCCTCTTTCTGACTTCCAAACATCTTTTACAAATTCTTTGCATTTCTACAGCCACTTTTTTTACCTTATATCTTCTTTTGACATTCGCTCCTTGCTTTCACATTACCAAACATTTCAACTCAAACCTACAAACGTTTTCAAATGTTTACAGTTTTCTTTCATATAAAATATCAATTTGCTCCAGTCCTTTTGAAACAGATCGTCACGCCGATTCCGGATCTTCCCTGTCAGCTTTGCATTCTCCACATATTCTACCATCTTTACTTGCCAGTCTTCCAATGTAGGAAGTTCCTGCTGCTTCCATTTCTGGGCCAGGAGTATTCTTGCAGCCGTTGTGGCGTGCATAAAATTTTTTTTGCATTTTTTTAAAAAAAATCCTCACCAACTAACCCCAGCAAAAATGCCTCTGGATTTTTTTAAATAAAATTATACTTAAATACCTTTTCCAGTTCATTATATATAATATCCCAGAAGGCTTTCACCTTAGTACAAGTCCACCACATATGGAGGAAATTCCACTCCATCTCCTTGCATTTCCAACAAGCTTTATCTTGATTCCTATACATTTAGGCAAGTTTACTCGGTGTAACGTACCGGCGATACATCATCTTCATTAAGTTCTCTTTAAGTACCACACGGAAAGTTCATTTGCTTCCAGGTTCCAAGTAATAATGGGGGGAAACACAGGAGGCGAGTGTCTGGAGGCGGTTGGAGGATGGATGGCGGCTAACAGATTGAGGTTGAATCCTGACAAGACAGAAGTACTGTTCTTGGGGGACAGGGGGCGGGCAGGTGTGGAGGACTCCCCGGTCCTGAATGGGGTAACTGTGCCCCTGAAGGACCAGGTGCGCAGCCTGGAGTCATTTTGGACTCACAGCTGTCCATGAAGGTGCAGGTCAATTCTGTATCCAGGGCAGCTGTCTACCAGCTCCATCTGAGACCCTCCCTGCCCGCAGACTGTCTGGCCAGAGTGGTGCATGCTCTGGTTATCTCCCGCTTGGACTACTGCAATGCACTCTACGTAGGGCTACCTTTGAAGGTGACTCGGAAACTACAACTAATCCAAAATGCGGCAGCCAGATTGGTGACTGGGAGCGGCCGCCGAGACCATATAACACCGGTCTTGAAAGACCTACACTGGCTCCCAGTACGTTTCCGAGCACAATTCAAAGTGTTGGTGCTGACCTTGAAAGCCCTAAATGGCCTCGGTCCAGCAGACCTGAAGGAGCGTCTCCACCCTCATTGTTCTGCCCGGACACTAAGGTCCAGCGCCGAGGGTCTTTGGTACGAGAAACTAAGTTACAGGGAACCAGGCAGAGGGCCTTCTCGGCAGTGGCACCCACTCTGTGGAACGCCCTCCCACCAGAGTGGCTGGGGAAACCCAGGCAGATGGGCGGGGTATAAATAATAAATTATTATTATTATTCCAAGTTCAAGGGCAGGATACTTCTTATCAACAAGGAGACCAGGTGACAGTTGTGTCAGGCTGAGGGGTCTCCTCCCTTGGGCAATGACCACTGTTGGAGGCAGCAATCTGGGCTAGGCAAATCTGGGTTTGGCCGGGCTCAGGAAAGCGGGGGAGATGCAGACCCCCTGAACTGACCCCTGGAGCAGCAGGTCTCCCTTAATCGATCTGGTGTGTGTCTCGCACCCTGCAGAGAAATTCAAGCTGCTTGACCAGGACAGAGATGATGATGATGATGATGATTAGAACAAGTATTGAGGCTTCCTGTGCCTTCTGCAAAGGGAACTCCTGACTGGCTAACTTTTTGGAGTGAGTGGGTAAAGGCGATCTAGAACAGTGGCATAGCGTGGGGGTTGCCGGGGAGCTCTGGGTGCAGAATCGTGGGGTGTGTGTGTGTGCAAACCTGACACCCTCTGACCCCTGCAGAGATCTCTTTGCCCTCGCCGGCTCCTGGAGGCTTGGTGTCTGTGAGTTTGCTCAGCCTCTGACTTCTGCACTCCCTTCTCCTCTCCTCTCCCAGGTCGAGGCCGCAGAGTGGCAGCTGTTCTCCATCTCCTGACTCCTACTCCTTGTACTGCTACCCCTGCACCTGGGGAGACTGCAAAGCGGGGGAGTCCTCCGGCCGCCTGCTGGCCAGCCCCCCGGCCCAGTCTCAAACCCAGGGCTCCTCGTGGTCGGATCCGTGGCCGTACAGCGACCTGAGCGTGGCCACGGGGAGGCCCAGCCCGCTGCTGGCGGGCGGCGACGCCAGCGCCCTCAAGAGCTACCGCAGCTGCCCTCGCCTGAAGCCTCCCCAGGCACCCCAGAAACGCTTTGCCCCTTTTGGGGCTCTCAACCCTTTTTCAAACCCGGCCTCCTCTGACTGGCTGGAGCCCCTCGAGTGGCAGAAGACCTCTTCCCCCGAGACCTTTGACCCCTTCGAGGGCACCGCTGCTTCCTCCTCCTCCTCCCCGGAGGGCGAGCCCCGCTACAGCCCCGTGCCCCCGCCACGCCCTGCCAAGCAGGCCTTCGAGCCCCCTGAGCACGCCGCCCTCCGGACGCCCCTGCCGCCCTCCGTCACCCGTGGTGCAGAATTGGGCACCGCCACCCGCCTCTACCTGGCCCCGGGGGTCATCGAGGTGCCCCCCGCCCGGCTCAGCGGGGACGGCTCTCCCTGGCAGCCTCCGGCCGACTTGTCCGCCCTGTCTCTGGAAGAGGTCTCCCGCTGCCTGCGTTTTATCGGGCTCTCGGAGGACGTGGTCAGCTTCTTTGGGCGGGAGCGCATTGACGGCAGCATCTTCGTGCAGCTGACGGAGGAGATCCTGAGCGAGGACTTCCGCCTCACCAAGCTCCAGGTCAAGAAGATCATGCAGTTCATCAAGGGCTGGCGCCCCAAGATCTAGAACCGGTTGGGGTGGGAGGAGGAGCCTGGGACGTCCGCAGGACCTGCAGGCGAAGGGGGTCGCTTTGCCTGGCAATGTGGGGAGAGGCCTCTGGATCTGTCACAAGAGGGCAGTGGCGCTGGGGCACTTTGCGAGCAGGTCTCCCCCACCCCCAAGAGCGCTGGTGGGCAGAGAGCAGCAAGGGCATGAATGGAGGGGGGGCTGGATGGGTGAGCCTGAAGCATAAACCCAGTGGAAAAGGATGGAAGGAGCCAGGAGGTTAAACGGTGGAACTCACTGCTGCAGGATGGCTTTCAAAGAGGATTAGACAAATCCAGGGAGGAGAAGGCAATTGATGTGAGGGCCCTGCCTTGCCCCATGCTTAAGAGGCAGCAATGCTTCTGAGTTGCTGGGAGCCGCAGGAGGCGAGAGGGCTTGTGTTCGAATCCTGCGTGTGGGGCTCCCATGAGGGCATCTGTCTGGCCACTGGGAGAACAGGTTGCTGGACTGGCTGGGTCATTGGCCTGCTCCGGCAGGTTCTTCTGTTGATGAGGAAGGGTCTGATGGAGACCTACGAGTGTTTTGGGGGACTCTGCCTGCCCTGGCCCAGTGCTAGCGCATTGGCCATTCCTGCATGTGGTGTCCGGTTGTCCAGCGCGGAGGAAAAGAAAGCAATCCAAAAGTGGGGTGGGAGGAGAGTTGTGATGTGACCCCCCATTTCTCACCCAGAGCTCCACCTTCATTTGGACCCCATTTTTATTCCAGCAAACAGGCCCCTCTTAGATCTGTCTAGGGGCTTCTCTCATTGCTGTGGGGCCACCAGTTTGAAAGATGAGGCAGACGGGGGCCAGGGAGCTTTTCTGCACGCGGGAAACTGAGGCAGCCAGTGACTGTGTTGCTGGCCCCCTCCCTGGGTGAGGGGTCTTGATCAGGGAGGTGTGGGAGGCAGTGCTTTAGGTCTACAGCGTGAGGGGCCTGCCCTCCAGCATCCGCTGCCCCACAGAGCCAGAGCCTCTCCACCCCAGCTGGCATAGCGGTGGGAGCTTCTTGTGGTTTGTCTGGGGCCCCTGTCATTATTATTTTTGAAAATAGTACACCACCCTTCAGCAAGAGACCAGAGGGCAGTATACAGCCTAGAACACTAAATACGTAATAGTAAAAAAGGAGCAATACCTTCCCACAACTGAAAAGGCCATAGATTTAACAGCCAAAGGCCTGGGAAAAGAGGAATGTTTTTGCCTGGCATCTAAAGATCTGGAGTGAAAGCGCCAGGCGAGCTTCCCTGGGGAGAGCAGTCCTGATGGGGAGCCACTGCAGAAAAGGCCCCGTTCTCGTGTTGCTGCTCTCCGGACAGTTCTAGCGGAGGAGGAACACCAAGAAGGACCTCAGAGGGCGGTCGCTTTTTCCGAGTATTCCATTTTGGAGAGCTGGCAAGGTGAGCACTTACCTGCCTGAATGCAATGTATGGGGGAATCTTGCTGCCTATGGAAGGGCAGCATGTTTAGAAAGTTCCTCCGTCTTGAAAGAGGTGCCTTTGCTTGACGTTTGATGGGGGATTCAGCAAAAACTGCCCTCGTGGATTTGGCTGCATTGCACGGAACGCCGAAGCTGCCCCTCTCGTGCCTTCACCACACAGACACTGCCCCCCTTTAAAAAGCATGTCTCCACTGCCATGAGGTCTAGAACCTTAAAGGAAATGTGAGTGGCAAATTCTCAGCTACAAACCATACGCTTGGGTAGTGCGACCGCAGGTGCACGCAGTTCAAGAATTCCTCAGCAACTCCTTCATTTGTCCACGGAGAGGTTTGGGGGTATTTGCTGCCTGTGTCAATTTATTTTCTCCTATACCAAGAAAAAAGCACACCAAGAACTCTGGCCAGTATATGTTTCAGTAGTGGGAGTGGTCCCCACTCGCAAATCAAATGTGGAAAATAACAGGATATATTTATACGAATTTTTCAAACTTACACGACCCCTTAAAAATTAGGTAAGGAACCAAATGTTGTATAATACTGTTTTATGACTGTTTTATAATTTATGATAATTTAGAATTTGAATGTATTTTCATGTAATGTTTGATGCTTCCAGCTGATGAAGGTGAATACATCGAAACAGGGCCCTGTCCTGGTTTCTGATCCATAATTGACTTCTGCTCAATGACTGAAACTAAGACCTTCACGTCGAATCTATGGACTAGCATGAACTTATCTCTACTCATAAACTCTTCTCTCTAATTCTGTAACGAATTATTGTGTTATACATATCCTTGTGAGTTTGAGTTTGTAATCCTTGTCAGAATACATACTTTTGAACGGATTAGTTTTTGTTACAAGTGACTATTGATTTGCGAGTAGGGACCACTCCCACTACTGAAACTTATACTGGCCAGAGTTCTTGGTGTGCTTTTTTCTTGGTATATTTAATAACAAGAACTCCAGCTTATTTAACGTTAATTTATTTGCTCCTGGCACGAGGCAGTCAGAGTCCAGCATGCCCCGCCCTGGGAGGGGGGCAGGTCACTAACAGCACTTTAGCACAACCTGTGGGCAGCTGGGTTGTTTTCACCCCCAGCCCCTCTTGTGAGCTGGTATGTTTCACTAATCCAGCCCTGCGGTTCAGCTCTGCTGCCTCCCGGCAGACACTCTCGGCATCGCTCCCCCAAGAGTGCCGCGACTTATTCCCGTAACTTTTTAGCAGAGGACGGCGACTTCGGGGTTCCGGCCCGGAGGCCTGCAGAACGCTCGTCTTCGTTTCGACTTTAGCCACTGCCGTAGTCAAATAAATCAGTTTATTTAAAAAACCATGTCGTGCCCGGGATGTGATTGTTTAATCAGGTTGCTTTAGAATATTGGGTGCAGCACCAGCTATATTTGCGAGGGTGGGGGTTGTGAAGTAAGGGGAAATGGGACTGGCAGTGGGGCAGCCCAGGTACGGTCCCTGCCAGGGGCATAGTGTGGGGGGTGACAGGGGGGCTGCGCTATTTGTGAGGGGGTGCAAACTAGGTGCTGTGGCAGTGTGGCTCCTCTCCACCCACGAAGGGCCATGTCGGGCGGCCAGTCTCCCCCGTGAAGGTGGGCAGGCGGCTCAGCACGCCATCCCCCTTTGTTCTGGTGGGAATGGCATCGCTCTGGCACCACTGGCAGTGGGCGCCGGGCTGGAGTACATGTGCGAGCCCCCTGCCTGTCCTGGGACGCTGGCAATCAACGCTACACCACTGGTCCCCGCTGGCAGGATCTGCATCGGATGTGGGGGGCAGAGACCTCCTGGGGAGCTGCTGCTGCAAAGGGGAGTCCACAGTGCGAAGCTGAACAGAGCAGGGGGAGAGCGTTGATAGAGGCGGCACCTCAGACACATATCCTGATGGCAAAGACTTATGAGTTCACCCCTGGCCATTTAAGCCTTGGCAGCTGGAGATCTGCAGGAGCCCAGGGACACCTGGAGGCTGGCAGAAGTGGATGGGGCCCCATAGCGGTGGGAAAACAGGACGCAGCTGCCTGGCCAGTGTGGTGACCCTAGGTGGGGAGGAACCCTATGAGCTGGGTAAGGAGCCACGGCAACCATCTTGCCATAGCCCCCCCCATTGCCATTATGACATATTGCAGCCAAGCAAGGGGGGGGGTCGAGGGAGAAAGGGCAGCCCTCCGCCCCCTCCCCACGAGAGCACAGCGCAATTCGCACTCGGATCAGCTTTGTCTACCCCCCCCCCGGTTCCCAGGTACTGCAGACCCTCCTGTTTTTCAAAAGCCAAGCCCCTGCTTTTGAAAATCTTGATATATCTATCGCAGTTTTTTTAATGTGAATGGCGCCACGGACCCCCTGGGAGGGTTAGGCAGACCCCTTGGGGAACCCCTGGCGCTCCCCACTGAAGACGGTGGTCCTGCAGGGCAGGCGGGTGGCCTAGATGACGCTCTGGGTCATCCCCCCCCCCCAATTCCAGGGACGCTCACCAAATCAAAGCACTCTGGACTACAGGTGAAACTTGAAAAATGAGAATTATCGTGGAAAAGTTCCCTTATTTCCGTAATCCAACTTGAAAGGTGAAACTAATATATGAGATAGACTAGTGACATGCAAAGCGAGATATGTCAAGCCTTGATTTGTTATCATTGCGATGGTCATGGCGTACAGCTTATGAAAAGCCCAAATTAACAATCTCAGAAAATTAGAATATTCAAGGAAATCAGCAAAACAAGGATTGCAAATCGAGCAAGATTGGGCCTCTGAGAAATAGAAGCGTATCTCGCTTTGCATGTCATGAGTCGATCTCATGTATCAGTTTCACCTCTGAAGTTGAATTACTGAAATAAATGAACTTATCCATGATATTCTAATTTTTCGAGTTTCACCTGTATGCTGATGGGACTTCTCTGCAGCTCCCGTTTGGAGGTGAAAATTCAGCCACAAATAAATGACCAGAGCTCACCCACAGAACAAGACACTGGGGTTTTATTGTTAGGGGTTCTTTGGGTGTGGGTCACGACCGCAGGCCAGTCCTGGGCCCACAATCAGCTGCCGTTGGCCCGAGACCCGAAGCCGCTGGCAGGCTTGGCGGGGCGCCAGGATGAGGCCGGGCAGAGAAGGCCCTGGATTAATCGGAGGCTGACCTTCGGCCTGAATAGGGGGTCAGAGCCGGGGTTGGGGAGACAGTGCCTGCGCGGCTAAGGCACTTGGAGGGTGAAAGACCCACAACCCCCTGAGCTACAGGGGGGAGACTCTCCTGCAGGGCCTCCTGCCTCCCCCCGCCTTTCCCGGGGGTCGGACGGACGGTGGCGCCAGAGGCACGTTCACTTGTGGAACTTCTTGCCGGAGTCCTTGGCGTGGTCCAGCAGCAATTGGCAGGGCGTGAATTGGCTCCCGTAGACGTCCTCGTACTTCCTCATGCGGTCTACCAGCCGCTGGGCCCCGTAGTAGTCTGCGTACCGGAAGGGACCTGCAGTGAAAGATTGGGGGGGGGATTAATAGTCATAGGGGGAGGCGAGCTTTTACTTTGTTATTATATCTGTACTTCAAGTTCGATTTGGCAAAACTCCCATGTAAACCTGTCTGAGAACATTAATGAGCAAACACCTAGATTCTATTTCATCGGAACTGAGAAAAGATGGCGTCTGCCACCCGAGAAGGACTTTTGGGTGGATTCAGCATAAATACAAGCGTGTGAGGACATACGGCAAATAAAAGACTTACCAGCTGCAAAAAAAAAAAAAAAAAAGGGGGAGAGTCATACAAAGTTCACACAGAAGCATATTATTGCTCATTTCAGCTCGCCTGTGGAAACAACTCAGAGGCTATGAAAGAAGAAGGATAATAACAAGAAGGTTTAAAGAAAGGACTAGTGGACACTCAAAGCAGTAGAAATATGAGATGATTGGACCCCACTGAACTTGAAGCATAGGAACCCCCAACAAAAAATTTGGCAAAATTTATTATATGTATTTGTACAATTTGGAATATTCAATGTGATTTGATTTGATTGTTAAAACGGAAAACTTAATATAAATTATTATTAAATAAAGATTGGGGGGGGTTAAGCAAGGTCTCCTGAGCAAGTGGGGACCCCCGCCGCCCGCAGAGGGCTCTCCCCGGAACTGCAAATGTCCTTGCAGAGCCAACGGCTGCAAGGTGCAAGACCTCCTCTCCCATAGGAGAACAGGGGAAGGGGGGCAGGAGAGACTCCCCATCTTGGTCACTGGAACCACGGGGCAACTAGACCGCCGGCCTCCCCCCCTCCCCCAGTCTCTCCCCAGGGATCGAGGCATTTCCATATGGCTGCTTCAAAAATCCTTCATGCCAGCAAAAAGGACTTATCAGGCAGCTGTCCTTTTTGGGAGACCCGTTTAAGGAAGCTTTTAATGTTTGATCTTTTATCGACTTTTTAATATTCTGTTTTTTGAATTATGGTGCTGGAGGAGACTCTTGAGAGTCCCATGGACTGCAAGATCCAACCTCTCCATTCTGAAGGAAATCAGCCCTGAGTGCTCACTGGAAGGACAGATCCTGAAGCTGAGGCTCCAAGACTTTGGCCACCTCATGAGAAGAGAAGACGCCCTGGAAAAGACCCTGATGTTGGGAAAGATGGAGGGCACAAGGAGAAGGGGACGACAGAGGACGAGATGGTGGGACAGTGTTCTTGAAGCTACCAGCATGAGTTTGACCAAACTGCGGG